TAGTAATAATAATAGCAGTAGTAGTAGTAGTAGTAGTAGTAGTAGTAATAGTAGTAGTACTAGTGGTGGTAGTAGTAGTAGTAGCAGTAGTAGTAGTAGTAGTAGTAGTAGTATGGTGGTAGTAGTAGTCGTCGTCGTCGTAGTAGTAGTAGTAGCAGCAGCAGCAGTAGTAGTGGTAATGGTTTGCTAGTGGTAGTAGTTTTGTCACCTGCCTGGCACGTCGTCGACAGCACCGCAGGGTCTTGACTATTGACGAGAAACTCGGAAAACTGCGAAGGCTAACAACAGGGCTTCTACCTGCGAGGTCCTATTCGAAGCCACGAAAAGGCTGCGGTGCGCAGTGGTTCAAGCGTGTTGACTGTACAGAGCAAAGGGGTAGCCTGCAGCTCAAGCCCTTGGGTGTTGGGAGTAGGGTTTCTTACAGGATGACCCGCACCCCCCTCCAATGCCAAGGGGTTGACGAAGTTCCCCGCACGGGCAGGGCACACCGCTCAGCGATCACGCACGAAGGCAGATCAGAGTCTGCCGCGCCCACCGGCGGATTTCAGCACATGTTGGGAACACCTGTCGTGTGTAGTTGACCTCTACCACGAGAAAGTGAGTATTATTTTCGTGCCCCGTTTCCATGATCATCCCGCCCAAGCAAGTGAGGAAAAGATTCTCGGTGATGATGTCTTCCAGTCAGACGTGGTCCCGGCTGCTGACGCCGTAAGCATCATGGCTTGATTCATGTCACAGCGCCTTGGCGCAGCCATGTGCCGAGCGATGTGGTGCACCACCACTATCCCGGTCTTGAGGCAGCGATACACGCAAGGGTCTTTGACTCCGCGTCTGAAGTCGTACCGTCCGGTCTCCTCCAGCTTGACGCAGGGGACCTCTTCCAGCTCATCTCGGTAGACCGACCCTGCGGTCCTTCGCCCATGCAGGTTCCCATCGAGGCGGAACAACATGTCTTCAATCTGTCCCCACACAAGGGCCTGCTCTGCTGGCGGGTGTTCCCGCACCCATTCTTCCCAGATGGCCCGCCATTCCGGAGGCGGTCTCATGTAGCCCCACTTTTCCTCCTTGGCACCACGATCTTGCCCGATGAGGTTCGCAGCCACTATGTCGAAGGTGCGCATTGTGCACCCCTTCTGCACGGCTGTGATCTCAAGCAGGGCATGTGCCTCTAGCATCGGTGTTGGGACGAAGACTCTTAGGTCTTGCTCGTGCTCTGCCGTGTACGCCCGCTTCACGTCGGCGCACGTGAAGCGGCTCTTGGCCACTCCCTTATTGACCTTGTCGACAACTTGTAGTGGAACGTCTGAGCTCCTGCCGGTTTATCCTTTTTTGTGGACCGGCGTCAAGGCCCGCAGTCGCCATAGCTTTCTTAGCTGCTCCAGCCTGGCCTGCTGGATCTGAGCTGGATCCGGAGTGGAGTCGAGCAACTCCATCACCGAAGCTAGGCGCTGGTGCGTCTGAGCGGGGTCGCCCGCGTTCGCCCAGCTTTCGTCAAAGGTTATGGGCCTACGCCGCTGGGCCGTCGATGCGCTGAGCTTTCTTCGCGGCTCCCTTCAGCTGCTTTGGGCTCCGAGATCCCCGCTTTTCCGCGCTTTGCGGTTCCTTGCCCCAGCCCTCCTTCACCCAGGCCTCTGGGGTAAGGGGCCGTCCGTGGAGCTGAAGATGCTGCCGAACTGGCGGCAGAACCCGCAACAACGGATGTCGAGGCTCCAGCGAGTCCACCCGCCCTCTCTGGGGCAGTCACCGGCACTGCCTCCGTTGGCTGCGAGCTCCGGGGGTGTCGGGCCCGCATCTGCCGTGGCAGATCGGGAGCGGCATGAGCAGGCGGCGGAGTGCTAGCTGCATGGCTAGGGGCGCGAGCGTCATGGCTGGCTTGGCTGGTATGGCGGTGACCCACGACCCTGTGTGAGGCCCCGATTCCGACCGACCAACGCCCGGACATCCGTCGGCACAGCCGGCAGCATCATACTGTCGCGGACGTATTGGTTGCGAGTTCGCGACGCATGAAATTGCCAACCATGTGGCCAGTCTCCGGCGCCGGTGTGTTCCGGCGGGGCCGGGTGGGCGCCTTGGAGGATCGCTCGCTAACTTCCCAACCTTCTGCTTGTAGGAGCTCGCGGGCCTCAGCAGCGGCGCGCAGTCTGGGGGCGTCGGCGCCGCCGCGCTCCAGTGATCCCGACCAACTGAGGCAGTCGGGCGTGGATAACCGGCAAAGCATCAGCCATGCCTGCCCCGTATGCTGCTGGGCTTCTGCGCTCCGCCGATTGCAGTCCCAGGCCACCAAGGTGGGCTGGCAGAGTCGCCAGATCTCGCGCATGCAGAGCATCGGATTCGGCTGGGCCCCCGAGGCATTGTTGAGCGTCTGCCAGGCGACGGGTTGCCCAGGCGTAAACGAAGTCCACGTGCCCAACCGAGGTGCCCAGAACGACGACGCCGCGATCATCGGGTCGCAGGTCACCTCGCCACACTTCGTCGTCGAGCCTCGCGATGCCTGGTGGCGGGGGCCCCTCACAAGCGCCTATCGCTCGTGTTTTGCCCAAATTTGACCCGATGCCACAGTGGTTGGCTACGGCCTCGACAGCAGCGTCCAACGACGTCCTTTCTCGATTGGGCGTCGTGATGTACAGGTCGTCTAGAACGTGACCAAGCTTTCGTCGAGGTGAAGGGTCGCCGCCGCTTGGCGCAGGGATGTGCAGGGCATCGTGGTGCCCCAAAGCGAACAAGGTGGGGGCCCCCTTGCTCGCAGCCTTCACCTTGTTTGACATCACGACATCGGCCCTGGTCGTCCCTGTAGGTGGAGGGTCGGCCAGGCGCACAAAGGGCAGCACTTCGGGCGCGTTCGTGGAGCTTGGTGAGGAACGCTGCCCGGGACATGCAGTCGTAGGCCCTGCGTCGGTGCCTTCATCAAGCGACAGCAGTACGGTGTCCGGGCGCACTGCCAATGCGGTTCGGACGTGGGGCTGCTAGAGCATCCATGCCGGCCCGCGCCTGCAGCCAAACTGGTACGGGCGAGTCGCCTGGTCAAAGGTCCCGGCCCAGTCCTTCGTGAGGGTTCGTGACACCAGGCGGCGAAACACGTCCCCGGTAGCAAATGCCTCGCACCCCCCCATCCGTTTACCGCAAGGCTGTCAGTCTTCTTGGTCGTGGGTGCCACAGAAAACACTAGCATCATTACCATGAGAACAGATACAACACCAGTGAGATCAGTAAGCTTATGACATGAAGGCCAAGGACAGGAGCAACACCACACGCAACAAGAACAACCGAAATTATGGAGTAATGAACACTGACCACAGTACGATAAACCACATATGGTAATGACAGCAGCAATGAACGATTGCTTACTGTGATTGATCGTTTCGATGTTCCTGAGTTGCTGCTGTTGTTGTTGTTGCTGTTCTGTGTTGAAGCAGCCTGAAATCAGGGCGCTAAAGGAGCGGGTGCATTCTGTGCAATTCGGAAATTTGAGTTTCACGCGTGGCGCCTGCTCGAAATGCTGCCGTCAGCGGTGCACTGGCTGCATGCAAAACTTGGTACACTTTTCCGCGGCAGAATCAGAAGCTACAGCTGCACTAGCGGAAGTGGCACTCGACGATAACGGAGACGTCAACTAATGCAATACTTCATCGAGCGACCGTCGTGGCAGTGCTTGCTCACTTTAAAGCACACACAAGTCACTAGTCTTGCTTGCTGGGTTTTTTACCAAGCCCCCATGCCCTAGGCCATGCCTTTGCCTCGGGCGGTGGAACACCAATTTCCCACGCCGAAATGGACTTCCACAGCTGCCATGCTTCCAGGCCAACCCAAAGCCCCACAGCGAGGCTCCACGCCATCAGGCCTTTTTTGCTTCTTGTGACTCGCGCAAGATCCGTTACGACATTTTGGCCCTATGTTCAAGCAACTATGCTACCGTGCTTCATAACCCGGTCACGGCCCCGAACCTTAGGAATATACTTTGCCGTCCAACTAAAAACGCCAGGCCTGTCGCCACGAGATGCAGCTTGTGCAGCTTCGGCGGTGCCTTGCCACAACACGCTAGTGATCAGTTTTGCGATCATGTCACCCCTCGCTTTTGCTTCTTTCCTTCCTGCAAAATTCATGGCACATCGTGAAGAAAAGCTTCTTTCATAGCAGAATCCATGTTGTGGTCCGTGTTTCAATCCCGGGGGTTTTTTATCGTGCCCGCCGGAATTTCAATACTTGTGTTGTGTTGCTTCCAAGATTTTTTTGGCGGGAACTCCGAGTGACTGGCTCAATGCAGCTGAGCTATCACGCAATGGGAAGCAAGGCAAAGTAAAGCAGTCGCGTGCAGCAACACGATCGCTGCCATCCGGCCAAACTGGCACCATTTTATTTTTGCATGCTCGCACTCCTGTTGCGACCGCGCCAGGCGACTCCGTGCAAACGTGCAAACTGTATCTTACATGCCGAGCACTGTCTGCTAGTTGCGTCTGGGGCTGCCGCTGATGCGATGAGATGCTTGCGCCGAATTAGAAAGCATGTCCACGAGTCTGCATGGTGGCCGCGGGGTGCTGCAGACAATCACACGCCAATGATTGTCTAAGCTCGAAATGCAAACAACCACGGAGATGGTTTGCTGTTGTAAGGCCTGACGTGTAAGGAAATACCATAGCATTATACAACCTCAACCACATGGCAATGGACACAGGTGTGCTGGTGCAATGCATGTCGCCCATTGTCGCCCGTTTAGGCAGTTTTCGACACACTGCGGGCTCAGCACGTGCCTCTAGCATCGGCATGACGTACAACCACTTGTGGATTTGTGGTCCGTTCGGCCCGGACACGAAAAACATCTGCATGTCAGTCTCCCTTATCTGGGTCTGTGCATACACGTGAGGCACTTGGTGTGGAAGCAAGCGTGCACTCCTGATGCCCACCATGATGCCGTGTGCAAACTGGGTGTGGACCTATTTCCGGACACGCTACTACTTTTTGCTGCAACTTGTGATCTCCGCAAGCCCTGATGCGATAAACATTCCGCTCAGTTGAAGTTCCGTTGCTGCGGCTTTGTGCGTCGCAACTGTAATGCTGAGTGACGGAGAATTTTGTGCTGATCTTGGCTCTCTCGTGTTGAACATGCATAATCGGTTTGTCCTCGTTCTGCTCGCGTGGTGCGGCGCCGTTTCCGCAGCAACGCTTGCCGTGTCTTCGTGATGTTCCATCTTTACATGCTGACGCGTGTGATGCTCGGCATTTCTCGTGGTATGCAAAGGCGATCAAAGGCGGGTTGGCCGCATCCGTGCAACACGGAGCGCACACACCCTGCCGAATCTTCGTTTTGGCATCTTTTGGCGACAATGGCAGTGCGCCTTTCACATCAGTTGAACAAAGGTCTGCTTTGCAACACTGCGCGCTGGAAATGGTGGCAACATGCCGTTCTCAACTTCCTTCAAACGTGCAAGTTTTACAGTTGTGTGCCGTTTATATATTTGGAAGCATGTGGTGGTGGTCCCATTGGCCGTCATTGGCCCTCATTGGCCCAAAACGCCAGCGCGACTGAGCGAAATGATGTGAAAATATTTCGGCCCAAAACTTTGACTTCCAGCCAAAAACATTGAAAGATCGGCGTCCCCATCGGCAGCACCGAATTCGCCCGTCGCCCAAGTAGGGGCTACAGCACGAGCAAACTCTGCTGCAAGAGCCCAGGCAGCTGCCAAACCGGCAGTGCGCCAGCACCGCTGCCGAGTGAGGCTCTGAAAAGCACCGTTGCTGCCGTCAAGACCCCATCGTCACAGAGGCCGCCCGCAGACCTTCATTATTTGATGAGCGATTCCGCCATCTGGCACAAGTTTCCTACAGAACGTTTTTAATGAGCGATTCCGATCTTGCACAAGTTTCCTACAAAACGTTAGGGCGTGGACCAACGGTGCTGGAAATGCATGGTGGTATCCGCGTCAAACAAACAATGCTTGCACGGACAAGTCGTGCCAATAAGGCGGTATGCCCACCCCATGTCCTTACAGGACCGGGAGATGCAGTGAAGTTGCTGCTCACTACCACGTTGGGTTCGCCTCCCGTGACACAGAATTTCACCTGCGTGAAAAAACCATCTGACACTGCTACGACTTGGCACCTAGTTAATCAATTAGTCAGAACAATATTTGCGTCAGAGCTGTTGTCAAACACGGCTTTCCTCGAAACCCGTGGCGCTGTGTATCGCAACACAAACAAACTGACAACTTTGAGTGCACCTGAATCTGGGACTGCCGAACCACCTCATCGGTCAACGGTCATTGGAGGTTAGACGATTTGACGCGCATGTCGCCAGGAAGCGGTCGCTTGACAAACCACAGCCCCTCTGAGCCCACCACGTCATCATCGGAACTGTCCGAGCTGGTGTTGGCAATCAGCATGCACTTCAACTAGATCCGGTTCGCACTATATGCCATGCAAAGCTAATGCAACGCAAGTTTCTGGGCAATGGGCCATTGAACAATCTGTGGTCGGTCGTTGTTGCTTTGCACTGCGCTTGCGACGTTGGAAGCTCACCGCAACCACAGAAGCACCACGACAATCACAGTGCAAAAACAAACTACGAACACAACGTCGTCAGCCGTCGTGTCCCAAAATGGACCCATTCTTCTAGATGGAATCCTTCCACTGCCTCAAAGGTGTCTGGCGACAAAAACACGCCACCCCAGCCTCCAAAACCAATCACTTATCCGAAAGCATGATTCTCCGAAGCACCAATTCATGTGCACCCGAAGAAGTCACGAACAGTCTCTAGGGTGCTAAAACCATTCGTGTGCATGCTTCTTAGTTTGCATCGACCATTCGTTTATTGAAGAAGCTGCATCCGCTGTAGCTTCCCCAAGACCCACCACTGATTCTGTGAACAGACATTTATCAACTTCGAGATCAGTCGGAGCAATCGCCTGTGGGCCGGTCTTTTTTTCGACCCCGAAATGTCTTTTTCCAGACCGCGCGATTGGTCTATTTCGTTTTTGACCCCGACATCTATCTTTTTTCCAACCCCGCGACGAGGCCCAGAAAAACACTACGAGCTTTTTTTCGACACCAATGGTCTGAAGTATGTGGTCTTTTTCTCGGCCCCGAAACATCTCGTAGCTGACCCCGGATCTTTTTTTGGACCCCGAGGCATCTTTTTCTGGGCCTCCAGGGTCTTTTTTCTGACCGCTGCTACCACAAGCACGTGCGCACCAAACATAATGACAACACAAAAACTAACAACGCGCTACAGCATGAAATTTTTGCAGTGCAAAATCGACAAGCAGAAGGCATTCTGCGTGCGCGCCAAATGGCGGCACGCAATGCAAACAACACACACACGCGGCAATTACAGCGCACTTGCGCGGCACAAACGCATTGCACGGTACGTGCATGCCAATCCAACATGTGCACGCCAAAGGCGGCACGCTGTGCAGTGCACGCACGGAGCTGCACTCTGCGTGCACGCAAAAAGTGGCATGCAGATTGTGCACTGCACGACCCTGCGGTTTTCGCGGCACAGCTAATGGCGGCATGCCGCGTCGTGGGACACGCACCTGAGCGGCGTCAGACAAACAGCGTGCACGCCTTGCTGGAAGGCATACTGCGTGCACGGCAAATGGCGGCACAAGCAGTACACCAGCGTGCTTGCCAACGGCGTACGCGGTGAAAGTTGTTTGGTTGCTAAAGGGTGCACGCCAAATGGCGGCACGCCTAAAACCTCTGTATGCACACCAAAATGGCGGCACAAGCAGTGCACCAGCGTGCTCACCAATGGCGGCACGCCGTAAAAGTTGTTTCTTAGCGGTTGCAACACGGTGCACGCCAAATGCACACTGCACCAGCGTGCTTGCCAATGGCTCTGCTTTTTTTGGCATGAGCAGGCCTCGTCGACGGCGGTTGCCGCACTCGGTCCTAAAGTAAGAAAGCTAAGGAATCAAGAATGACAATCTTCAAGAAGACTATACAAAGGTGAAAGCTTCAAAGAGCTA